AAATGCGAAGTGGACGCAACAGATCTCTGCTCGATACTCGTATCAGGGTATTTCTCACTACCTACATGTACCTACAAATCACTGCTCGGAGCCCTGAATTGCGCCTAGCATAAAATACGGCAATAGGATCACCCCTATAAGGCAGATACTTACCTCCGCGGAGTAGGTTGGTACCTAATATAACCGACGAAAGGTGGTTGTGCCTGTTACGTTTTATACCTTTGTATAATCTTTAGGAATAAAAAAACACGACGTTGCAAGACAGACAAAGCAGCAGAACTAAACATGTAGAAAAACGATTTTAAATCTCGTAACCTATTTTCTACGTCAAAAATTATTTCTACCGTTTTCCGAATTCCTTTCAAGGATCATCGTTTATCTAAATAACCTAGCCCTCTTCCCGTATTGATCGTTCGAGTGGTCGATTCATCCTCAAGGTTTTATCTGCGTTGGAAGTTATTTGAAAGTATGAGAAAACAGGAAAAATACTGCACACATTGAAGTAGGCAAGTAGGTACCTACTTAAGTGCTTTGCTATGTGTGGGTAGGTACAATTTTGTCCAAGAAAATTATAGATTTACTGAGAGGACCTTGGTTATGTATTCTATTTAATTTTGTATTTTTATATGAAGCACAGAATCCTTTAAAAATTGAAACAGGTTCAATAATTGTATGTACCTAGGTTATAGCATGTGATCACTGATGGGCTATGAAAGACATAAATTTTATCTGCTTAGTCAGATATACCTTTAATAGAAAATCGGACAATGTAAAAAGTTTTTTTATATTGTAGATACCTATCAGCTAGCTGGCCAAATCTCCTATAATTTTATTATGTTTGGTCACCTAGCTGCTAAAAGCCTAAATACTTATACGTATGATGTCTTACGGAGGTAGGCTAGGTTAGCTAGCTTTTTGTGGAATGGAAACTGCCATAGAACTCCATAGACCTACGCCCAGTTCGCATCTGTCGGGTTTCCGTACCGTAGTGACTAAGTAAAGGAGCCGATAGCGATATTACCTACTGCCTATAAAATATAAAAAAACGCCCTCTAACATAGGTAGGTAAGTACCTATCCTGCCAAATGAAACTCACCTTAGGCGCTGACTTTATTTATCTAAGTAGGTACCTATTAAGTATAGGTAGGTAATATCAAAGGTTTTATGAAGGCAGATAAAACAAAAACACTAGTCTATAGATAAACGCGTTAAAAATCATACAAAATGTCAATTTCAATTATTTGGCTGTGACAATGTAAAAATTGATGTTGTTGACGATTCCGTAAGAATAAAAATTGTTCCGAAGCCCGATTCTGTTAAAAATATTCATTTATTAAATAAGGCAATATCATTAGGTAACAAGCTATGTTTCGCGTAAAACAAGAAATAGGTACCTGTACAGAATCATATGGTGATAACTGCTGGATACATCGTGACACGGCAGAAGATAAATACAGAAAATGCGGGCTCATGAACATAATCCAACATATAGACATAAGTGGTTCATACAAAACAAGTTACAACGAGTACTATCGAACAAAACAAGGCAATAACAAAGAAGAAGTTGTGGTGATATCAATATCAAGTGCATCCAGACCACCGAACTATGTTACATCTAACTTTATTAATGCTTCAGTGAAAAAAGTTGATTCGAAATTAAGTAGATTTTCAATTACAACAAAAGTTTCAGGTCTTTATCCTGGGCATGACATTTTATCGAAACGTACGAACAAAAAGAAACATGGTGCGACAAAATAATTTTTAAACTGCCCCTAAATAAAAATTATGTGAAAAAGTAAAACTACCTATTGTGCAGTGCTTCAAAGTCTAGCCACTACATACTTATTTTCTTACATCATATTATCGTCATATCAATGACCTCTGAAATGATGTACCTACCTACTACCTATGTAGGATATTAAAAGCAACACAAAGAACATTAACATTCTGGACTGCGATGGTGAAGAGGCTGAAAATAAACCTCATTATAAGCCGGAGGCTCAGCATTAACTACTCCTCCACGCCATTTTAAGAAACGGTTGCCCATAGAAGCAGGCAAATATTTACCTACATATTAATATTTTTAAGTTAAACTTTCTGCTCGGTAAGATTTGTTTGTGAGATATTATTATTGGATAGCATCTTGCATTGGATAATTCCATGTAGCTAGATGTTTTCCAAATGTCGCCAATTTTAAATATTACTCAATTTGAATTGGGGTCCGATATAATTAAGTACTTACCGTGAATCGCCCGTCACATTAATTGACTACATTTAACAGATACGTGGAATGATCCAGTGCGTTAGATTTGCGCGGTTTCGCACTATCCACCTCGCTCTAGGTACTTATAATTATATATGTATGCCGTATCAGCTGCGTAGCAGGGCAATTGTTAGATATTGGTAACAAAATGTTCGAATTTATTGAACTTACAATCATTATCAAATACTACAATCTACTAAGTTGTTTATTTGAAGTGTACCTACTAATTGTATTGTGCTATTATTTTTGCTTTAAAATAGTATCTATCTAATAAAATCATTCCAATCAATAAAAAATATATACCTACCTACTTAGGTATTTGCTTTGCAGTGCATCTATCACTTATCAAAATATTCATTGCTCAACAATAACGGTTCGCACTTGACCATTTTTAGTGGCATCGCCAACGTCTAGATATCTAATAGATACCTAAACGATTCCAATATTGTACTTATTTATTGAAATCTTTTAGGCAGAGATTAAATTTATGACAACTAAACATTAATAATTAAGTAGAAAATAAATTCAAGAATATTCATTAGGTATTGACATTTTGATTACAACATGGTTTCTAAACGAATGGTATCAAGTTATTGGTATCGTACAGATGATTGTCGAACGTAGCAGATCGTGCAAGATGAGAGTCTATTTAAGATAGTTTTATTGTCAGCATAGATTATGAGCAATCGGTGCAGAAACGAATGATATTTAGATAGTACCTACAAATATCGCACAAATGATTGACTGGTACTGGAAATAAATGATCAAATATTATGTTGGTCTACATCCAAGACTTCCAAGAGGAAATAATTGAGTTGCATGGCCGCACATTACCTGCCTATTCACCAATTCCCAGTACCAAAAGATTTTCAAACCCATTGCTTCGCCTGACATCCGAACTTGAGTCTCGAGTGTGAATCCCGGTTCGAGCCGAGCAGCGACAAGTAATTTAAGATATTCCAAAAATATTTTTAAGTTCATGTCTGTATTTCTATGTGTACCTAAATAATGATAATAGGTAATACGGAACTACCTATGTTAGTTTGGGATAGTTGGTAGGAATACCTACTTATAGCCATAATTATCTTAGTCATTAGGTAAGTAGATAGGATTTAAATAACACTCGTAAATCTTTCTCTATCATTTTATTAGTTATTGGAAATACTTTTCCGAATCACAATAATTAGGTATGTAACTACAATAAGTGTCATTAGCTGCTATCGAATGGATAACGGCTAAAACAGATACGTAGCTTATCTTCAGCCAGGCCCATTAATACAATTTGTTAAACAAACAAACTGTATTATTTAGTGCACGATTTAATTGATCAATAAGCATGGGATTTGGGTACTCAAATTCCATGGTTACGTCATAGTAAGTAGATATTTATAGCTAAAATCTTTCGATTGTGGTTGCAATACCTATTCTAGACATGTTATTCAGGTACTTTCATCCAAATACTTAATTAACGCTAACAAATTCTGTTGCAACAACGGGTGAGTATTGAAAAAAGAGACAAGATTTCTAAGACTTAAAATCAGCCGTGAAAATGTTATGTTTTTTCCTATTAGTTTTTGGTTGTATTCGTTATACTACGACTCCGTATCTCAAGACCAAACTTTTGCTCGTATTAAGAATAAATTTTCTCAATCGGGCCTGGCTTTATTCAGTTTCCAGCATTCACGACTTCCTATTTATGCCTACCTACATACGTTGACACAATCAGCTCAGTCTCACAATTCATATTTGCTTCTGTTCAAATGGTATTTCAATTAATTGGCAATAGAAATTCTGCACTACATAGTGATGCCACTTACGTACTTAGTTATATTTGGATTTTACATTTTTTTAAACAATTTGAATTGTCATTGAGTCTAAACTGCGCGTAACATGAAAGCATCTTTTAAAGTAGTTTGCGCAATATTTGTTAATTTGAGTAAGTTTGACACATAATATAGGAATAATTGAAAACTTTGAAGGACATTGATATTTGCTGTGACACCCCACCTACGTTGGATTCGCCTGATCTACTTTAACAGCTCGAATATGTAGGTCCCTACGGATAGCACTCAGCTAATTCATAAATCATTGCACAAGAGTTACAATTATGTAGGCTAAGCTTAGATCTTATTATTACGAAGCACCTTAATAAATAATTTATATAATATGACTGTAATATATAAATAAATATAGATTTAGACAAAATAATTCCAATATCTTATAAACAGCTACTTGTACTTTTAATTATATAATTATAATATACAGAATGAATTACTTCGACATACAGGGTGGAAGAAACGAATAAACACAGAATCAATAACGTTTCTATTATATTTACCCATGATATCAATATTTTCTTTATAACTGGTAATTTAACCGTCCTTTACCTATGAATATGGCACCTATATGCAAGAGTGGTAGCAAGAAACCTAACTTCTATTATATAAAATGTAAAGCTTGCTATGAGATTAGATGGGAAATATAAAAAAAATGAGAGAGAGGACGATTCCACTCCACACCTATGCAGGCAAAATGTTTATTTTTAACTGGCGGCTCGCCCCATCCACGCCCTGGTACTGTTTTTACTGTGTTCACAGGTAATCAGCGTGGAAGAGTATCATATTTTTCTATCATACAAAACTTGTCTTTATAATAACGAACACGATAGACAAGGTTTATCCTATTCGGTGCAGTCATTCAAGAGTTAAGGGCGTACCTACACACTTTTTGCTGGTCCATTTTTAATTGTGTATGTATTTTATGTAAATATGTATCTCTCAAAATATATAATTATACGTTTTTATATAAAATACTCATTTACCTTTATTGACTGTGAAAATATATTCTATACCTACATGTATTTTTCCATAATTAAATCTGTGTTGTTTTTTCTACCCTGTATGTTAATCGGTAATGTTGGTTTCAAGTTATAAAACTTACAAAATATGTCTTGTCAGAATTCGCTTTAATATAGTATTTATTATGTCTTTCTAAATATTACATCCAATAATGATAACTAAAACACGATTGTCGTATTTAAATATATCATAATTCAAAATAAATAAAAGTGCATACTAGAAACAAAACAATTCATAAGTAACGTACACAAACATTTAACATTCGGAAGAGATAGAAGCACTTATATCGTTCGATGAGAACGAATATTAACTATAAATATTAAAATTACTATTTAATATACACGGGGAACTTACAATAATCGTCTACAGCACATAATATACAGATACAAATATCATTGATAATTTGAAGTAATTTACAAAGTATTGATATGTACAATATTTTCAAACCTTTTTATATTTATTTCATCTATTATAAACAAACTTTAATAAATATAAATCAAAATTAAGCGTAATACACATTATATATATTAACTCAATTCATACAAATATACATCAGTAGACACTAAGGGAACGCCACGGTAAATTAATTAAAAGTTGTCCAGCCTTTGGGAACACTAGTGTTGGAATCCTGTCGCGCGCTCGAACCTGCGGAATAGTCTAATAAACCAAATTGGCTAAAATCTAGTCCATATTCGTGTAAGAGAGCACTGTCTGTGGATTTGATTTGTTCGACTTTCTGATTTTTATCACGACACTTGAGTGGATCGAAATCTTCTAGGTTTGTCGGCGAATCATCCAGTTTTATGAGATCAGAATCAGAGCCACACGACTGAAAAAGAAATATGTGAGTTAAACAAACACGAAGCGACACACTTTCCTTGATAGGTCTCGTATGCCAAGTGTCATCACCCAAACAAGTACAAAAATATTTTAAAATGGCTCATTTACATTAATGCACTTTCATTTACCATAACTTGTGAAATATTTTATTATTGTAGTGTGTTAATGTTTGTGACATGCATTTGTAAGCAAAGTATAATATCAAAAATTCAATTATTGAACGTCTGAAACTAAATGTCTACAACAAACAGTATTCTATATCATGCAATAAAATACACAAACTTCCAAGTTCATATGTGCTGTTCAAATAATGTAAATCAACCATAAATAGGTATATATACATATAAAAGTTAAATTAAATGTTTTAATCTGTTCAATTCTGACTCTAAATGTCTCTGAAATTTAAGTACGATTTCTATAGGACCTAAATACCAAAATGTTAAATCAGTAAATGATAACATGGCAAAACAATGCCCACCATTTTAAATCAGGCATAAGTTGATGTGCAGCAACACAAGTTAGTTTTTTTTTCTAACCAAGAACAACCGTTAAATTTTATTATACCTATCCAAGTTAGTTTTTAAGATCTTTGTAATGCCAAAAAATATTTACTTTTGATACTTTATTAGTTGTGAACAGAAATGTATTAAAAAAAACCTAATATATTTCTGTTGAATCCTTGTTTTAGAGACGTTGAGCGAGACGCTAGCTAATAAATTACATATAAAAAAATATTCATTAATTTACTTACATTTGTCCTGGCTTCAATATTTATTTATTTAAATATTGTACATGACACAATTATAGTGCGTAAGCGCTCGACGACTCTATGTTACTTCCAAGGTTGCATTTGCAGCCTCGTCAGTCGTCAATTAATATATTAAGTATAGAGTGTAACTACTTCTATTAAATAAAAATCCAATATTTATGCATACTTAAATATATTTAGTAACATGCATTTGCAAGTTCTATGTAAGCATGATCTTGCTAGAGGACGACAAACAGTGTATTATACAAGTGCTCGTGTCATTATAAAATTATTTATCTGTAGTGTATACCTAGGTACAGTATAGAGTGACGCACATTTATTGAGCTTCCCACTGGCTTTATTGCAAGGTGTTATGTTCTAATATATTTAGATTTTGGATAACTACGACCCGATTGCGTTCTATTCGAAGTAGGTTGATTTGCATAGCATATGTATATTTGTTTAAGAGTGTTAACGTGGCGCGAGTTTACATACAAAATTTCAGGTCCAAATTCATGGAAAGTGCGTACAGAACTGATTTTAATAAAACTTGGTACTAAAACAGAATCATAAAAACCAAAGAGTTAGTAAAATATTTTCGAAATATCCTTTAAGCAAGCAGTTTAAGAGCGGTAACTTAGAATCGCCTCTCTTTTTCTCTCTAAACTCTTTTTCGATAATGTCTAACTAAACCTTGGTACCATGATATAGGTATTGCGAGTGAGCACCTAGTTTCTTCAAAATCGGTTCAATTAGACTTGAAAGTTTGATGAAAACTCGTGTCGCGTAAACGTTCTTGAGCCAAATTAATAAATAAGAATGCTCCACTGTCAAGACGGGACAGGAAGAACCAGTTGCACATTTTTCCTGCAAATTTTTTATAGTATAGATAATACTATGAAACTTATAATATAGGACTACATGGTCGTAATTCTAGTCTAATGGTTCCAGTCAACATTACATTGACTAAATACAAAACACTTAGATATTAGAGTATCCGACATAATTATGATTTATACTCGGCTAGCACCTAGTTTAAAAGACTAAGTGAAACTTATTGTATAATTATAAAACATCACTCTCGACAGCATATTGTTTGTCAAAAATTGTTTTCTAGATTTCTACTAGAAATATGACATTGGATGACTTTAAAAAAACAATAATATTGTTTGTACGTTCCTTGTTTTATAAATTATTGGATAGCGAACGTAATATCATTAAAATGTCGTATATTACGTTTATTAGGTACCTATGTAATGCAAATCATCCTTTTGCCGACAACTTAAAGATCTTTTTCAGCATTTGTAAAGTAAAACTTACATAAAACGAGCTAGCATCACATTTTGAGATCATAACGATTTATCCTTAATAACCAAAATAATAGTGATTGGAGTATCAGTAATTATGCAAATCAAAGGAACACTTGCGTGGGCCACATGTAAAATAATATAGTAAAAAAGCATTAAATATCAACCTTGAATAAAAATTTAGCAAAATAATAACTCATTAAAAGTAGGTCCTTAAATGAATTCTTTTAAATTAAAGATAAGGCTATGTCCATAACAAAATACAACTAGGCAATAATTTACAATAATCAATTCTATAAAAGTAACATAATTTGCAATATACCTAGGGGAGGAGATTGATTCTATTTCATAACATTATAAGTATATAAATGAAGTAGCGTGTCATTCAATAGATTTCTTATAAGCATTATAAAGTACAAAGCAATAGAGAAGATACAAAAGGATAATTTAAATCAAATATTACTTATTACCGAATAACTAATAAATTTTTAATCACAAACCACAACTGGTAATAATTTATAATTATGCTTGGCACACATTCGAGAAGTTATAACTTCAGAACATCATATGTATTAATTAACTTTATAACATTAACACATACTCTATAAGTTATCACATATGAATTTGGCCATAATTCATACAGTAACGTATAACTACTATAGTAGCATACCCACAACATTACTGGAGCTGAACATTATTATGCATGATGTGATAAGACACCTAAATCATATAATTTGTAACCCCTCCACATAACGAACATTGCTCGTCAAAATGTTTGTTTTAAATATAAACAATTAGGCTCCCCTAAACTACTGTTATGTAGGTAGTATAACGACTCTTTTCCATGCTAGAAATTAAAAGCAACTAAATTGTAATACTTCAAATAAAGGGTCGTTATGTATGTATTAGATAAATACTATTTATATTCATGAACTTCATAATATCCAAAATTAATGGTTAGGTAAGTATCTATATTATATTATTGTAAACCTCGGCATGTTAGTGCAAACATAATTTCACTCTTGCAGTTCAAGGCATGAGTTCTATAACTTTCTGCTTTACAATCATATATAAAATCGATATGATTACAAATGTGCATATCAAAATTACCTCTTGAATTTTCCCTTTGTACGAAGGTAGTTCGGCGTTGGATCCCACGACGAGCCTAGGCCTTACGCCCTCTTGGCTCGGTCTACCTACAGAGGGTGCCGTAAGTTTTGGCGCTGTGCCATTACATGGCGACTGAGAGGTTGGCAGAGACACCTTTCTTTGATTCGTTGATAGGGTCAACTTTAATTTTGCTTTATCATTGCCTTCAGTGAAGCGTATCGTGCTGGTGTGAAAGTCTGTTGTAGTATTCACATCATTTTTAGTGATGTTACTGACAAAGTGTAGATTTTGGAGCGTCGAAGTAGGCGTCGCACGCGGCGGCGGCATGGGCGCATCAGAGAAATCAATTAGTTTCCTCGTGGAAATTATTGGGTAACGGACTGGGAGTTGGGGACGTTCCGGTAACCGGGGTGGGAGACATGGTGACAGTGTTTTCTGCAAAATAAAATTAAATGATGTGCCACGGTGCTCCTAGGAGCGTTCATGCTGATATCGCATTCACATGGTACTTAACACAATAATGTGGACAGTACAAAAAGAAAGCACAGTTTTGGTGTAAGAAAGCCTATTACAGTAATAAAACAAAGCGTAACATTTCAATGACACATCATAAATGAGATACCTTTTAGAAATGCGTTAACAATAAAAACGAAAATACTTAAACTTCAAAAAGGTATCCGCACCTATGACAGCTATTAATGAAAAAAAATAATCACACCTCCGATACGACACCAAAATAATTCTATTTTAAATCGACGTCGCTTCCCTCTTTTGACTGAGAAAACATAAATGTCATATGCTTATGATGCTCAGATGTAATGTTGGTACCGTTAGCAATAATATCCACTAATCTATTGTTCGTTACATAATTAGAGACAACATTTTGACAACAGCAAATGTCAAACTACAAAATAATGTGGCCAAATTTTTTAACATAGTGATGGGCCCGAGTACGATTTTTTAAAATACCGATACCGTTTTTTTGTAAATTACCCTGATCTAAATAAAACAACGTATGTTTTTTTTAATATTAAATCGAATTGATAATAATAATTGAAAATAAAAATGTGAAAAATAAAAGCTTATTTCATTTCCTTTTGAAATTCTTATGCTGGAACAACACTATATATCATTCTGTTTCACGAAATAAGTTGCCGAAACGTAGCCAGGTTACGGACGCTAAGAACCCACCTCTACCTCTGGGCCATGTACAGCCCTATAATAGCGTCCCTGTAGCTCTTTGCTTTGCACACATCCTTGCGATCCTAAGGAGGCTAAGAAGAGAGCAGTAAGTCCACAGCGACAACATCTCGGTAAGAAGTTTCGGAGACTGTACACTTCACTGTTGTGGAGGGCTTTGTCATTTAAAAAGCCTCTTTCTCCACATTTCTCTGGAATGTACAGCGTCTGCATCCGATGCTCAGTCAGCAATGAATGTACTTTTCTATCCAGCGTAGTATCAGTATGCCAAAGAAGTATATCAGTACAATTTAACACTCTCCTCAGGCGGCCAAAGAAACGTTCTCGCACCCTTTGCTTCATCACGGCTGTATCGACGCCTAACGCTTTTGATAAACCCAAGTATTTATAGCTCTCGGTTGGAGAAAGGGACCTGAAGTTGGAATCAGTAATTAGTGTTCCATTCGTTCCACAATCTCCACTCTCTTGATGAGCATGAGTGCACATTAAAGAGTGCATATTATAATTAAAGAAACCAATACCAACGTATTTCTAGGCTTAAATTATTAATATTGTTTGACATTCCGTCTGTCAAATTTCTGTGAGTGGAATGCCAAAGCTGACAATAGTTTCTTGTAAAACAGTTATTACTTATATCAATGCTAATAGTTTATAGTTTTACAAACGATTTTCGGTCTTTCTGTCAATACCGGTCGCGGGACCTTACTATTTACGAAATGGAAAAAACTTGTAACACTCGATATGTTAAATTGTTGTCTCTAATTATGGAACGAACTATAATAAATTGCATGAAAACAAAACGGCGGAGAAACAACATACGAAATTACTATACGCAAAGTGCCGTATCGAAAGTGTGATTCTACATGAACTATATGACGCACTAATGAAAGAACACAAGCGTCTAACAAGAAGCTACAAGGACGACATCTACATTCACTGATTGAATATTTGCAAGTGTGTCTGACTTACTGCTTTATCTGGAAGACTGATATCGGAGTTGTGCGAACTATTTGGGAAGCTGTCACGTCGTTGTGCTTTTTTACTGTCGAACAGGAACTCCATCTCGGTGAGCAGATCGAGGGGCAATGCGGGCGGAGGCTCACGGGGTGGCAGCGGTCGGCTCATTGGGGGTTTGTTCGAAGGTGATGAGTCCGACGAATCCGATGACACCGGCGTCGCTGACCCACATGAGAATCTGCTTCCAAAGATAAAAATGATAGCAAAACACTAACAGGTACTACACAAGTGCATACGTAAATAAAGCGCATTATGTGATCTGATTTTGAACGCCCCTAACCTAACAAACACTTCAATATAGATAATGCTAGTTACATCTGGTAAAAAATAGTAGTTAAATATACTTAATTACCTGCTATCATCGGTGGTGTTTATTGAAGACGGGCGAGACCCAGTTCTGGGCATTTTATTCTTCAGGCCTTTCACCGCAGATTTCACATTCTTGCCTCCTTGGCGGACCTTTATGGACGAAAAAATATTAATGTAAAACATTGAAAATAATTTATTACAACCGTTGTCTATAGCAGCCGAATCATAACGTTGTGAGAGAGTACGTAACATCTATTTTGATGTCATTATAAAAAAATCAGGCACCTTTGAATATGAAAAAGAATGCTAATATAATTATTGTTTTAAAAAATATTCTTGCAACGTTATGTTCCGCTGTATGAAATTTCTGAAAAAAATATACAAATTATGTGCGAGGTCGGGCAGCATGCAATCCTTTCCTGTGTAAATTCTAATTTAAGCTTAATTTATAAATCATTCCTTTAAAGACACGAGTCAAGCAAAATACTTTATAACATATAATCATATGAAGTTTCGTGGTTTACTAGCTGCAGTGACAAAATTGGCGTGATGATTTTTGTTTTATTATTTTTTTTGGGTTCTTGTGTTGACTGGGATTAAAACGAATCGAAAAAGACAAGACAAATACATTATTTTTTATTATATTGTACTTTTGTGGTATAAATTACTTAGTAACACTTAGCGTGAGCAAATATTATATGTATTTAGAAAAAGTTTTAAGTAAACTGTACAACAGTAAACTTAAAGTTACAGACAATATTTAGAATGACATCATAAATGTGTCTGATTATGCTATAGAGGCGGATGTCAAATAGATAGTGGTTGAATGTATGTGTATTAAGTACAGTTTTTTCTCATATTTTGACACAGTTTTGTATTCCCTTCAAAAACCATTTAACTGTCCTTTGCGTGCAACGTTGTAGGAATATAACAATAATGGTATCTAAGTAAGAATAAACCGCTGAATTTTAACTGCACAGTTGTCTTGCTGGCCGGGCAACGTGCCACGTGCCCTGTGTGATGTGTGTGATCCGCAAATTGTTGTTGCAGTCTGGATTGTAGGTGTATGTAACATTAACATATTTAACTCATCCACGACACAGGAAAAATCCTAGTACAGGGCAACGTTTTTTAGAAGAAGGAATATAAATATCTGATAATGTATCTGAGTTCACATAAACTCAAATGTCGTAATTTTGTATTTATAATTGTGTCGCTCCTTGCAGCTTAAGATCTATTGACCATTAGAATATTAGCTAATGTCATGGCTAACCTGTATTATGTAAACTGATTAGGTTTATAGGTACCTAATATATTATGAACTGATTTTTAGCGCCCTGTCCTGAGCACAAACCGAAAGCCCTAGTTGCATTATATTATAGCTCATAAATACTGGGACCCAGTGCAAAGTAAATAAAACTAAAATTTTGAATAACAACTGGTATTCGTAACTTCGTGGAGTATATACTTAGCTGAATTAACACATAGCGGCATCTACGTTGTGAGCTGTGCTATTTTATATAAATACTAAATATAAAAAATAATATGCATAACATTTACTAAATTAAATTACGTTAATAAATACATAAATAGTAGACACAATAATGAATGAAAACGTTTAATTCATCAATACCTAATAATATTGAACTTGTGATACAGGAAAATAGCAATGAAGATAGTCAAAACAAGTACTAAAAAATCACAATCAGTGCGTATTTTAAGTGCATCTTGATATCAAAGCAAAGAACTGTACATTCAGTCATATTGAAGACACCTTAACATCACATAAAAGAATGAGGAATAACAATTTAATAATATAATAAATAAATATAATACCTCACAAGACTGACTAAATCAATTACAAGAGCAATACCAAACACAGCCGTAATACCATCACCAAATTACTACAAACGAGCAGTTAGATTATAAAGTATTCTCCACCAAGTTATGTATAACAGTGCCACAACATTAAAGTCGTTGTGAGAACATCAACAGACTTCACTAGAACTCACCGTTTTGACCGCCGATTGCACAGCTGGGTTCGCCTGCAAATATTCATAATTTAAAGCAAAAAAAGAAAACCTCCATTACTAACAGCGTTACAGCATGCATGCTAGTATTAAGAGTTCAAAGCCAAGTACGTTCAGAAGGTAAGTGCTTTAAATTACACTGTTTTTTTTTTATAATTTAACTTCGTTTCTTGTATCTGAAACAGTGTGAAGGTAGTTATTTCATTGAACTATGCATAGTTTGTATTGTATTATCCCCCTAAAACATACATATGTATGTTGGATCCTAATTAAACCTCAATAGGTACAAAACAGATTCTTACTTGTTGGGATTCGAACTATAGATGAAGTTTGCATTTAATTAAATTTGCTAAGAAAAATATAAACTAATTCGATTTGACCACTTTTTATGGTTAGAAAGTACAAAAACAGAATTTCTCGGATTGTACAAAAATATATGAAAACAATCGACTTCAAAACCTTCGCGTACAGTTTGGTAAGGTTCTTCAAAGCCTCGTAAGGTGTCTCTGCCGTCGTTAATTGTCATCAGAGCACTTTGTGCGACGTTGCTTTGCGTTAAGACGATTAACGATTAGTGATATTTGGGGTTCTAATTGGCCTGCTCCAAGTTAACCAACCAATCAGAAGGCTGGACAGTAACCATTCGTTTTAAGGTCATGTAACTCGCATTAGGCTGTCTGTAACCTAACCTTAAATTATATTTGTATAAAAGCTGAAGCTAAGTAAACCTAACTATGGACGTGTGAAGTGTAGTGGACTTCATAAAGCTTGACACGTTAAGATTTAATATAATCTGTTGATGAAGCTTTAGAACTTCATATATTTCTCATACTTGATCACTGCGAACGAAAAAGCATCTCTCTATTCATTATAAGTACTTTAAATTTACTTTTTTGTTATTATTTTCGAGTTATGTCTGAATCAAACTTGAATAGAATTTATTTGGGGATTATACGAACTACAAATTGTTCTTTATGAAATAACAATCACTATTGTTTCAGAAAATAAATACATAAAATGTTACTGTCATCTATTGGTGTTACTTTACCGCAATTTTAATGGTTTTATGAACCATATAATTAATACTGAACTTATTATGGTAGGCACGCAGACACTAATCAAAAAATTTCTTATAAAAATATTTGCAATCCTATTAGAATATTTTATTTTGGATGAACTACGTATGTTTACAAAGACATGACATTTATAATCGACCTTAATTAATATATAATCTTCTATCTAACTCGATATTAGTTTTATACTAGCTTTGATATAGTCAACATAATACGTATCTAGATAAATAGGAATGTTATTTATAATAAGTAATCCGGAAATACGACCGAACAAATCGAGTTAAAAAAATAAAAATCTTTACATATATACTTAGTGTAAGTATACATTTTTTGCTGTATTTATGTTGCCCTTATTGACAAAAAGCTAAAAATAGCACGGTAATGTTTCTTGACAAAATGACAGACAACCGGAATTCAGAACTGGGTAAAACCTCCAAGACTCCTTCCTCTATTAAATCGCTTATTATCTTTGACATGTATGGGGAGGATTTTGTATTGAAATATGCATTGTGTGTCTATGTAATTACTTAAGCTATGTTAGGTTATAAGATCAAAACTTCTGCAACACATCGACTTATCTTAACAAAAAGTTAATTTGGTGGAGTTTAATATTACAGTTGCATATAAAACTAACGATCGCAATGTCATGAAAATTAAGCATATTGTTTAGGACAATGAATTATTAAAGTAACACAATGGCTTGAAAATGTTTTAAAAACTCACAGTATGAATAAGTTTAGTGGCACGTAGCAAAGAAATACTCATCACCAAACATAACAAGCGGTAAAAAAAATATTTACAAACCAGACATTTGATATTCTCGTATTTTTAACTCTACCTTATCTTTCACAGTCTTAAAAAAGGCACCGCCTTCCTTCTTGACTGTTTTGGCCCAATCCCTGTACTGTTGTTTTAATTTCTGTCCGCTCCCTGTATTTAGTTTATCGGCGTAATGATTGCATTCCACTTCAAACTCATCGTTGAAGCCTCGCCCCGAATTCAGCAAGTCCAGTCTTTCGTCAATAAACTGTAATAACAATATATGTAATGTTTTAAACAAGTCTTGGTATCTATACAAAGTTTCAAGCCCAAAATCATGTATGTATACACTCCCATAACTAAGTCATTTTTGTTAACTACTTTGCCTTATTATTTGTTAAGCCGGGATAATCCGGGATAATTTCGACAAAGCTGCAGCTTCTCTTTCTGTTCTGTGTCATTCACAACATAACTGATAATAGTGACCCTGGTTACAAAATGGCGCATTTATTTATAAATCTCACCTGCCGGAATATTTGTGATTGTAATATTTTTGTAAGGAATGGTTGCATGTTCTTTCTGGTTCTGATAAACGCCTCGGGATTGAAGGTAATCAGCTGACCATTTTCAATTCTGAAACAATACATTTACTCATAAGTTTAAATGCTTGATGGCACTAACGAGATCAACATTGCAAGAACTTACTTAATAGCATCACGGTATCCACCTATTAATGAGACTAGGGCACGTAAAAACGCTCGAGACACGGCATCACCCAGCGCATTCTTATCACTTAAAGCCTTCTTTAAGCTCGCCACCTGCAAATTAAAAGAATATACTACTCCTTTAATTTACCTTTTATTCACATTGTCCATACAACACTTCAGACCCCATATTTAACAGGACAATAAAATATCAAGGAGAATAGTTACCTATTCTCGAATATTGTCTTGTGCTAACAGCAGAAAGAAGAAAGACAGATATCTTACCAGATCCGAGGGTAGACCATCTAAGTCATTGAATGGTGATTTAAGCTCATTTGCATCTACATCTAGTATAACCACATCGCCAATTTCAGACATTCTTACATTCTGTAACAAGACCATCAAAAGTTATTACAATTGACAATACAGTAGGTACTGATCTAATCCATAAAAGTCTAAAACTTACCTCCATCACACTCCTAGGAACTCCAATAAGAAATGGCATGGGAGCCAATAAATAATCAACCAGATGTTTTGGAAGAATTGGAATGAATATGTGTTGCCAGGACATTGGAAACAACGTTGCATTGGCTGCTTGCACGCAGGCTGATAACCTAGAAGGTTTTGAGGCCACTATTGCAACTCTGCGCTCATGCAGCAACGCCGCCCATAACCCGGCCATACATTTCGTGTCCATAGCACTAAAGTATTCCGTTAGGTTGCACTGAAATAATGATCAACCATTAAACATACACAACACTACGAACAGAACAAAAGAATTTTAGTGAACAGATGAAACAAGTGTAATTAATGATAATGTGATCTAGTGTTGTTGTAAAACGAGAATAAAACCTAACAATAAATGCACTTACATTTTCTGGAATACTTGGTAGTTTGTTGTCTGGACACTGACAGGTGAAAACGCTGTGGCCAGCATTATAAGTCACTTTAAGTGTATGGCCGGGCATAGGTGGACGTATCCGACATGCTTCCAGGAATGATACTAATTCACCCCGTTCTGGACTATTTATCAGGTTCGCTATGCAATTCAGTAATCTGAAAAGTAAATTGTAATAAAATAATAATCAACTGCAGAGTATTGCTAAATAAAATTTACACTGTGGATAATTTTAACAATCAATTAGCATTACTAATAAATAATAATAAATCAAAACATCGTGATGATCATAATCGCAAAGCACATTTTTTTTACTAAATTTGCATTAACTTCTGTTTATAGCAATTTTTTAGCATTTGGGTATTACGCAAGCCAGTAATATCTCATTTGATTTTGACCTAAAGGTCATCCACAAACCATGTTTAAAATTAAATTCTTGGAAACTTTATTGTCCCATTGCAACAAGTCTCTTTCAAACCATTAAATTGTTTTAGATTGGTAGTAAGTATGTCATGTATACAAGATCCAAAGTCTTATGATAGAAATATGTTCGCAATTTTATTCAAACTTTACTTATAGTAATTGTTCTATCTTTAATATTTTACACTTAAACACAAGCAAGCAAATTATATTATCTAGGTAGGTAGGTAACCTATTAAAGCATTTGTACTACTAATATATGGTAATAGTTATAGACTTTCGCAATGAATTTTTCATTGATTTTCTTTTAATCAAATATTTTCTGACAAAACAACAAAAAAAAGATTTTTTTAATACAGTGTAGACATTCGCCAGCGACATAGATATAGAAATTATTTTATTAGATTGTTTTTCTTTTCTGTGATTGATGGGTTTTTATGTGTTAGCACCAATGTAACAGCTATTCTTAATATTATTGATACTTACTTGTAAAATATGTCATGCCATGGTAGATGCGACAGTAGCACAATTGCCGTGTTAGCTTTAGGGTCATATCGGCAGAAACAAAATGTATATTTAGAGTCCTCGGAAGTCAGCACAAATGAATAGTGCTGAGCAAAGGAACTGTAAAATTATAAAATAACGATAATATGAATATAAAAAAATTTACGTAGAAAGTCCATGTAGGTAATATCTCAAACTGTATGTAACAACTTACTTTTCTAGCTGACATGGGAATGTAAATTTTGGAATATTTTTTAACTCTTCTTCATTTTTATATGTTTCTGGATATTTCCTTATGACGTAAGGTTCCCTCAGATGATCACCGGGTGATACTTCACAAAATAATTCAAATAAGAAGCGTACAGTGTCTCTGAAAATACACAAAATGAAAAATATGTTTATATAACACTATAACACTAAAGGAATGAAAATTAATTAAAAAAATAATGTAAGGACTTTTGTTATACCAAGAATATAGTTTTGATTAAAAGAAGATTGGTTTATTTAATAGGTGTTAGATAATACTCATAAGTTGTATTAACTTGATACATCCAATTTGCATAATTTTGTTTAGCATAGATTTACAATGACTTATTAATATGCCTCCTTTTATTTATTTTCAATCTCCAACTCAAAATTTAATGTAATGAATAGTATTGCTCTTCTTCTTGTTTATGTGATTTCTTGTCTTTTATGTTCATTCACAAACCCCAAGTGAAGTGCTGGCCTTTGCATCCCTATTGTCATGCTATTATGTCTCAAATTACGATGGTTAATAACATTTTATTTTAAATAGGACTTTTATGTGGAGTAATATTTAAAGTTACCATTTATTATTATAATATTAACAATGTAGTAGTGTGGTACTCATTCATTTAATGTAAAAATAGCGATTTGTAGTACAATTTCAACATTATACTGAAAAGCACCAAACAAATTTGATACAAAATTTGTTTTCAATAAAGAAATATATTTTTTATTTACTGCATTTGTTATTATAGTAACCTATAACACAGAATGTTGCTTAAATAATACTGAAACAAATTATTTGTCAAGCAGGAAGAAATATGCATTTAATCTTGAGTTTACAATATTATGTCAAGTGCAATTTGATCTAACTGGTGTTAGACATGGTCTAGTAGTTACCGTATATGTGTAGAGTAAAACATAAGATTTAAGTGCAAAGTTAGCTAAACTGAGATATATATTTTAAAATGTTAGATATATGGAACATATCATGTCAAATTATACTCCAATTAGACTAATAGTAACTGAACCAGTGCTGGTTAAACCACCAGATTTTTGTATAAGTGCATTACTAGCCAAGTGTAGACCATTGTGAGTCCTGTAGTCCACAAGTCGCAACCCTACTTCATTAACTTTAAATGGTAAATGTAGGTTTTTCATAAAATTGCTATACCAGGCCTACAAGATCTATTGAAGATAAAATCCATAACTAGCTAATATTAACATACATCACAATGTGTGTATCTTTATCCAATATTATTGTTTGAAAAGAACTAAGTTGCCTATAGGTATAAGAAGATACTTTAATGAGATTTAGTAATGTTTGTATAACAACTATTGTCTTGTACTTGATTGAGATTCTAATAAGATCACTGTAGTGGCCATATTTAAATACAAATTGCTGGTATTTTACTATTGGAGTGATAAATAAACTGAATTATGTTTGGACAAATCAAGTGATAGGATTTGGAGGGGGTAATGGAATCACCTATAATGATTTTTACATTAGGAAATATAAACACACATTCACAGTATCATTATCAGAATTGAGTTAAACAGGAAATTATTTTATCAGGTTACTATACCAATTGGACATCTGTCGCGGGGCGTAAATGGTAAATAAAAATCAAAGGCAAAATGGAGTTAGTAATACAAATTACAATGAACTGTTCACTTTTTGGGGGTTATTTAAGGAAAATCTATTGTATTTTAGCATAGTAAATACTTGCTAATGGATAATTTCTAATGGAAAAGTTAAATAACAATTACCTTACTCTGGAACCCATGTCTCGACGTGGATCATATGAAATTTTGTTTACATCTTCCACAACACACAATCTGAAGTTACTTATTTATAAATTCTTATATCATCAGCCATAGAAAACTACCTTCGTGTCGTGTGAAACATTTTTTAAAGATTTTTACCTCTATTTCCAAACTATTACGAAAGACGGATGATGTTAGTCACTTTCCAGGGATTAAAATTTATTGTAAAAGAATAGATTGTCTCTGTCTAATTTATAACTTACAATAGCGATAGCACATTTTATATGTTAAAGATGCATACGTAGCTTTGACGTGTACATGGAATGTTGTCTTGTCGAAGCGACACTCGTCAAATAACGTTCCGTTTTGCAAAATCAGTGTAATATTGTTATAAGGCAAGGAATTTAATAACTCTCTACGAGAGATGTTTTAAGGTGATATTAAGGTTTTAATTTCTTGATATTCTGTAAGCTGTTTTAAAGTAACACCGTCATCGTCGATTTGTTTGTTCCAACAATGTCAATGTCTGTCTCGTTAGTAGGTAATATGATTCACAGATTATAGAGTTAAATAATAATACTAAAATGTAAATGTCAATTTGCTCTTTGTCGATCAGCATCTGATTTTCATACCTTATATATTATTATATACCTTTTAGCATGAATGGATCGTAACTAAATAGATCCAGGCTTAAGCAACTTAGCTGTACTAAATAAATCATCTTTTTTTACGTAATATTATGACCCTATTAAAACTTGTTGCCTATAACAACTTAAACCAGGTTTATGTGTGTGTTTTTTTATTAAATAACACAATATAGTTTCTTCCCTTAAAATCCTCAAAATTGATGTTGTTATCATGCCCCAAATTGCACAATTGATGCTGTGGCAGGAGAACCGACAACTTAATAAAGAACGATTCTTGAATGTCTTCTAAAACTTATTGACTAAAAGATCCCATTTCTTCTCCTTCAGGTCGAGGCCGCGGTACCTTATTGCCCTTGACTCGCGACTCCTACTTAGCATTGGCCATATTGGTCCCCATAAATGGTGACCTATTGGCTTTGCTGGAGTATCACATAAAAAATAAGTGTCTGACACTCTCTCTGAAATCTGGGCTGTACCTACCTAATCAGTAAAATTATCAAACATAGTTCTTTATTGAACTAATTGAGGTCGAGATTAGGTACCTACTTCACGCGGTCAAACCAAATATGTGCTTAGTAGGTATCGATTACCTACCAGCCACCTAACTCTCAAGTTAGTAGGAGCCTCTGCTCCTGGGCAATTACTTAGCTCTTGTTTTAAGTTATAATTTACTACCGCCAATTTAGTTTCTTGCACGCTAGTGCACGAGCGCAAGTTGAGACACCCTACCTGGTGTTAAAAGAAATTAGGTACCTAGGGTTTAGAACTTCAGACTTTACTAGTGGCCCATGCATTAGGTACATTTTTGCACTGGCTTTATTTTAGCGAGTCGTTAAGTACCTACCTAGGTAAGTGAGCTTCCACTCATGAGTCAAGCGATTATTGAAAATTAGGTTCCGCACTGGTAGATGTAATACGATACAACTCTGCCATTGGGCGTGACGACTGAATAAGCACCAATTACTTTCAATTGACTTGGTGTGGGTTTGCCACACCAAGTCAATAAAGTTTGATTGATAGTTGAATGGCCAACTAGGTAGACATCAGTTCGTCAACCTTTGACGAAAATAATAGCGTAGCTATGCAGTGAACAGCGGTGGTGTCCGCTTGGGCTGAGCACCGGCGTTTACTCAGGAAGGTGATCGGTGGCGGCGTCTTCCCGGGACGGGGAGTAGCGGCCATAATGCGGAGCCAGAGGAACTGGGAAGCCGCCTCCTCATTCTGCGAAGCAGTCATTCTCGTAAAGGAAGGAAGAAGCGTTGGAGGTCGCGCGACGATTTTCAGCACCCTAGAAAGGGTAACTCGATGCCCGACCAGAACCAGACCCGAGCGTACGGCGCGTGTTCCGCGTGAGCCTCAAAGAGCCCGTAGACCACCACAGATGGGATCCAATAAGTATCTAAAGCTGACGTTTAGCCAGGGTTGCGGCTGAAGCTCAATGCTTCTCTAATCTAATGTACCGCGGCCCCAGCCTGGAGCAGGACAAGAAACAGGGTGGTATTTAGTCAGTAAGAGTCTGATACTTCCTCTCACCGCATCCAGGAGGCCAGAAGCCATATACCTAATGATTAATATCACATTTCAAAAATAAGGTACCTGTGCTATTACTACAATCGTGAAAATCATATTCGATACAGATACCAGAGTGCCTCGAGTCATTTTTATTTTTTTTATCATTACTTTTTGCTAATGTTTGGTTAACTTGGAGCAGACCAGTCATTAATATATCGATTTCCATAATGTTAAGCAATTTCGCGCGACTCATAAGTTAATTTTTGGTTTTACCTACACTTCTTTCTTTACCTAAGTAAGAATAATATTGACAATGTGGCTGACACCGTACAATGTATGCTGAACAACCTGACTGTTCTTCTGCTCGCATCGGGCCCCAGATGAACTTAGAAAAAACATAGGTCATGTTATTCAGGAGCCAATCACCTCCAACGGTTCTCCTCTCAAGGTTATTCAACAGTACAGTCAACGTCACATATATCGGGGCATTCAAAGTACTCAATTAAGTATATAGGTAGACGTAGATATATTTTCTTTCTTTCTTTCTTTCTAAATAGGTACGTTTAGTAGAAACAATTTCGAGAGGGAGGCTCGTAGAAGGATACGACTTGGCTGGGTAGCATATAGGGAACCTGGTCAGATATCCTCTTCAAATATACAGCAAAACCTGAAGACACAATTTTAAATAAGTGCGTCATTCCAACCTACCTAATGGCATATGGAGCCGAGACGTGGTCACTGACAATGAGCCTGAACCACCATTTTAAAGCTGCACGGCGACCTATGGAAAACTAAAGTTGTTGTCATACAAAGCCCTAAGCATAAGCAAACTGAAGTGGCAGTAGGCAGGTCACATTTGTCGAAGAACCGATGTCCGTTGGGCAGAAGTGTTCTGGAGTGGTGACCACGTCTTTACAAGGCAGAGGTTGGATGAGAAGAGCTGAACATCGAGCTCAGTGGCGTGCGATTGGTCAGGCCTATGTCGTAGTAGGGGACAGAAAAAGGCTGGTGATGATGATGATGATGATGATGATGATGATGATGATGATGATGATGAAGTAAAATGAAGTTGCAATCAATATTTTAATGAAATCGCCATTATAGTTACCTAATATATTTATTTATATAGTAACTTATTTACAATTATCGTATTCAGCTTATAGCCTTTAACTCATAACATTTTATATTTTACCTCTGATTCTACTTACTTAAAAATACTATAAGTACCTTAAAGTCTACCGTTTTGGGAAAATAAATAGATATAGAATTTCTTCTTTGTACTGATGAGAAGTACAGTTGATGTCGATAAGAGGGATGGAGCTATACAGGTGTAGGGTGAACTCATCTAATTCCGTGACAAAGGCATTTCAGTTACAAAATACCAGTAAATTATTAACTAATTTAATTCAGTCTCAGCATGACTTTTTTATCAGTCTTTTATGAGGAATATTAGCACAAATAATCAGATTTTTTTCTAGACACCTAGGAGTTATACCAAATTTACTAAACCAAGTCAACTTGCCTAATTCCGTGGTGACCTCTTTAAGTCCGTGATAGCTTCTACTTTAATTCTGATATAACGGAATTAGGCAAGTAACTTTGAGATCGATCTCCGAATATTTTCTGTTCTTCTTGTTGGGGTCATCCATGATATATCTGAAAGTGAATCTGCAATTTAAAATAATTAATACGTACCTACCTGCTAAGATTTTAGCGGCTGCCCAAAGTTGAGCCCATATTAATAAAAAAAACTGTGAATTTTGGTAAATTACTCACGCAATTACGTGACAAGTCCAAAAAAAGTGTCAACTTATTCCGTGATAGCAAAATATAATATTGGCTCAGCAAAGTCGTCAATTTAATTAAGACCAGATAAACGTAATAATATAACATCAATATTGTCTACTACACTCAAAATAAGTCAATAATTTTAGTTAAAACCACAAATATTTGTACATAACTACTATAATTCTGTGATAGCACAGAAACCACTCAACCGCTAAAACACTAATATTTGTGACGAACAAAATAAGCTCTAACACGAAAAAGACGCAGAACTTTGACGATTTTTTTGCTGCCACATCAAGGGAATATCATATACAATCCATTTTATTCGAAAGAAGCTAAAAAATAGGTTAAATATTTATATACACGAAGCAAAGTTCGCCACCCATTCGCAACCATTGCGGAAAAAGTCGAAATTCGCGCCCGAACTTACAAAACTGTTAGCTGTTTCTATCTCGCTCACTCGAGCATCCCCAAAATTTACATACGAATTCGAGATTAATCACTGAGGCTTAAGGTTGTATTTGAAACCTTTGATTTCACTCGTATAGCCCTATGATAGCGCTCAAACCAAATATCACCGAATTAGGCGAGTCACAGAATTAGATGAGTTCACCCTATAGCTCCATCCCTCTTCCTTCCCTCTTCAACCTCCTCCCCATCCCTCTTGAAGATTGACGCGTTAACACGTCATGGTAGGCCTACTGGAACTAATTAGCTACCGTTTTACAAAAGAAAAATGTAGATACAACTATAGTGTACCCACCAAAAACATGTCCACACTTATGTATTATATAAAAGTAAAGTACATACTTAGACACAGTATATACTTAAACATAGATAGCTAATACAAATATGGTGTCGATATTTTTATTTATCAAAGAAAAAAAAACCCAAACTACCACAGCCCATTAAAAATCTAACCACATTTTACTTAAAAAAGGTCAAAGTAAAACAGGTTGAATAGATACATAAAGGGGGTCAATAGATGTTGGCGAATTTTCCTAGTATCTATTCACCCCGTATTACCACTATCTGTGTTAACAGAATAAGAAGCCCGAATCGACGTCTGTCATTTAAACGTACATATTGTAATTGTAATTCATTATTAAGAGAGAGTGAGAGAGCGAGAAAGAGATTCGCCTGTCTACAACAAACAACATTATTTATGAGCATCGCATTAAACTATTTACCTATTAAAATTATATTTAAAACTTGACTCCATTCTGTGTATACAGTCATATCTGTGTATTTGTAAATTCTGTAATGAAGTACTTGGGTCACCAGTTAGCTGTTAAATGGAAACCAATAAGCTGTATTCAGACAGCGACCAGAAGGCATGATTCATCATGTCCTAATTTCTGTTAGGGTCCCGAAATCAGGTGATCGAGAATACGCGGCCACCCTAAGTTCTAAGGAATCGTGCCATCTGATCGCGGCTTTAGGAGATGTTATGGTATAAACGACAATCATACATAACGGTTATCGAGACGGAACACTTGATGGCAAGCAATCAGTATAAACCATGAACACAACCAAGGCTACAATTAAAAGTGCCTTACCAGCTATTTGAGGTATGAGAAAATTCGGGACTTCAGTCATAAATCGGTAAGTAGCAATTGTAGTCAATAATAATTATAATTCGATGTGAGTCATACATAATCAACAGTGATAAACTGCATTCGATTTTTATCCTTCTTAATTTATTTTGGGCTTCTTATTTTGTAGTAAGTTCAGTTACATTATTCACTTACTGAGTACGGCTTATTACTATGATAAAAGTATAATTATATAAACCTAAAACCTACGTACTAATCTAAGTATCTAATTTAAATTTGTTATACTTATACAGGTGTAACGAGTTAACAGGTAGCTACAGGTGGTAAAACACCAATAATTGAGTAGTTTCCTAGGTCAAAATAAATTAATTCGACGTTTCAATACAATAAAATCTTGAAAAATAACTATACTTTTTATTTATTGATCGATCAATATACTGAATTTTAGATATTTTTTTGGAAATAAGTACTTAAATTATTTGAATGAATGAATGTGAAATGATATTGACTAGTTGGAAACTACCGTATTGCTGATCAATAACAGAAACTCCTCAAATTAATCTTAAAATTCGATCTCAATCTAAACATTTTGATTTGAGATTGATTGTTGAAATCGGCAGTTAACATATTAAGTTTTAGCGTACCTAGTGTTAAAAAACCACCATCCAATTATGCTTTTTGTTAATTAAGTAGCTAGTTAGTTCAATTTAGAGTTATTTCTTACCCAAATTATTTGTTACGGTACAAAGAAACGGTGATTTTGGTGAGTGAGTAAACTCGTTACATCTTAGGAATATACAAATTGAGGTAAATAAAATAGAAATATATTAGGATTTTTTAAAAAGGAACTAATTTAAAAAAGGCAAGGCAAATAATTTGCTATAAATGCTAATCTTTATATTAAGCTGTAAGGATTCTTTAAGGATTCAAAAAGTTAGATCGATCTAGAGGTTTTGGTTTAAGATTAATGTTCGAAATCAAATGTCTATATGTATATTCAAAATATAACTGAGTAAATAAGTACAAAACCAGTTTTTGGGACTAGACATAGCGTTTAGTTTCCAAGTCAGATATATTATAATTGAGCCGTGCTTTATTTAAAGTTTATGTCATATCGAAAAAGTTACAATGTAACATCTACTTACATAAGGGTTGAAAAACGATAAAACACAATAGGATGAATATATTAACCTAAAATTATTTCAAATAGTAATAAATAGGTATAGGCAACCAAATAAGTTAGCAAACTTTCATATAATGTAAAAATGTAAATAAACTTTTAGGACAAGCCCTCAATTTTTGGGCAAAATAGCTGCATTTTTTAAGTAAACATTAGTTTTTTTGTATATTATATTTTATTTGTCGTCAATGGACGGATCAATGATCTTCAAATTCGTCGTCATTAAGTCTTTGTTATCTAAAACTTAAATCTAAATAGTTTCTATTGCTATTCTTGGAATGACAAAAAGGCGTGGATAGATTATTTCTTTCTTTTCTTAATTTAATTAATCTTGCAATAGCAACACTTTCTGAATTAGGTGATTATCCAAAACCAATAAAAAAGTCAACCCATCAATGCCTTTGGAACAAATTCAAATTACCACTGTTACATTTCAAATGTTAAAATTAAGATTAATTTGAGTTTTTATATCAAAATTTTTTTAATACCAAATCCGAATAGGTTCTGAAATTTTACTCAATGTTAAGTTATACAATGTACTTTCAAAATAGCTATATTTTTGTCACTATAAATGAAGTACCAAAAATACACTTACGAGATAAATGACGCTTTAGTATTTGTATATATAAATGGCTTTAGAATTACAATCACAGGAAGCAAGACCTACATAAATGTAAGTGAGGGCTTACTGGATATGTTATACCTTCAGCATATGCCATTTAATACTGCTACTCCTCATTTGGATTATTAGTCACGCATTTCCGTGAATTATTTGTAATAAATAAATAATAGTATTATATAAAAATATAATTCTTCAACTGTCTCACAGTATTCATTTGTGCAATTATGTCAAAGCAAAAGAATCACAGATTTCACTTAGTTACTAACAATTGTCAGGAAGTTACAGCTCCACGAGCAACTTAAATATAATAAGTACATATTACCAACTTATCGTTATCACATTCTTCCCTCCGACATATCTTCCAACATATAAACCATATCATTTGGTTGTTCATATCGAATGACGGACAAATAACCTGAAAACAAAATATAATAACATAATTTTTTAAACATTTCACAAATAAGTACATTTAGCGGTAAGGTCATAGACATAAGTGCATTATGTCAACAAAAACAAACAAAAGTGTGTTAGAACAATTTAAGTAAATGGTCGTCGGTACGAAATTGTTCTTTTAGTAATGTTAACGTAGCACATAACAAACACAGACAAGTAATCATGCGACTATGCAATAATAATAGCCATCGAATTACATTGTTGATAAAATTTTTGAAAGTACTTCCTTTTAAATGCATTGAGAAATGTGCCATACAGCCCCGAAGAAGCTCCAAAATCGATGATCATCACTCGCGTCTATCCTCCAAGAGTACTAATTGTCAGAGACAGATGAACACAGATTTGTAACAATAACGACACAGAGATCTAATACGACGCCGAGGTGGGCAAAAAGAAACACATTTAATATCAAATTTCAATAGTATATTTATAATTAAACCATCACAGGAGCGTTTTGTAAAGAGTTACAAAAAAACCAAGTAGGTACCTATATACTACTAATACTACAGAATTAAAATAACATTGTGGGCAGCATATTTCAGGAAACAATCGGAATCGTTTGTTACAATCTTATTCTGGGGATACACAATTAGAATATAGGAATGTCTCGTCAAACGCATGATAAGAAAAATAAAACAAATTAAGAAAACAGAGGAAAAAGATTTTTTATATAAAAAATGAACTAAAGGGGCTTACGAACAACACAAACAACAAGACTAAGAAACAAAAGTTAGGCAAAAGACGTTTTGCACGAAGTGTCAAAAAGCAATAAAAACAGAAAGAAAACAATCGTAGACACAAATAAATAAGAAACATAAAGACCTTTATAAGGTAAAAAGAAACAATTCGATGTCACAGCGCTTGTATGGCACAGGAAAAAAACCAATTCAAGTTTTACGTATAACAATACAAATAAAAATAAAATTAAGTCAATAATAATCTCACTGTCTACATTACTAAAATCTAAATTGTATGTTAGTATCTTATTAAACGATCTTTAAAAATATAGAAGAGTATTTAAAGTATAGGTTTTAGGAACATAGAAAATACTTAACACATTAAATGTTTAAATACCGAAAACACAGCCTAAAAATTATAAATTTTCATGTACGTATAAAACACAGAGTAACTGGTAAATGCTAGTTCAGTGATGTATTAACATTTTTTGCTGCTAAAACCTTACAAACTGATCAAAGTATTGACGGTACCGTTCTGCTAAAATAAATAATACTAAGCAGGCGTAATTAAATAATATGTAAACAAAATAGGAACAATTTTACTTAAAGCTGCTTAATACGTATTTTGACTTTACAAACCATAGCCTCATACTGGTTAATGCTCGAAGGAAATCCAGAGATTTTAACTTACAATAAACTTGCTTTATTGTGATCAATTATTATAGTCCACTATTTTCTCAAAAGCGAACTTATTGCTTACTTGAGATTTTTGAAATAAAAAGATTGAAGTGATACCTCTTTTTAAGAGTTTAGGTAAAACGACTCTACCAGCGAGACAGATCTAAGTGTTAATACATCAATGAATAATTAAGTACTAAAATTATTATAAGGCATTATTCAAATCATCAATTGGTCTAACGCGGAATGTAGGCTAAATAATAGTTTTATCAATTAGTTAATATAAAAATATTCGCTTATACATAATAAAATTAATTTCTACCCTTCACCATAATAATTGGCAATTTTTTTGTAAATAATGTACGTCATTTTTTTAAATTAAGTACTTTGACGATTATAAAATATATAAGTTAATGATAATGTAAAGTTTTGATATAAAATGGTAGTCTAGGTTGGCGAGTATACATTGTCTATGCCAGTTATAAAATGAATATAATCTTGATTAAGAAGATTCAAATAAAATGAATCTTGTTCTTTTATATATCAACCTAGGCTACAAAAAACACAATGACAAAAGGTGTATTCAATCTTAAACATTATTGTTCTGTAGTTTTGTCATTACCTGAAGGCACTCTAGCGTGGCCAATTTTATCCTTTATAATAAAGAAAGCCAGCCAGTTCAATCCACAGCATAATAGGGCGCCAATGCCAAAAGAACGGAAGGTAATCCATCCTCCATATGTCCCGTACAGTTGACCTCCAATAAAACTACCTAAGGATGTACCAACGCCTTCGAAGACAGCTCCGACCAGTCCCTAAAACAAATAAAGTACTGTTTTGACTCTGGCTTTCCAATTTAGAAGGTTTATATCATGTCATCGGTTTTATATAAAGAATGTAATGTCGCTTTTCATTATTTCATATACTCTCACATTATACTCAGACCTTCTTTTTGTGAGGGGAAAATTATCGTCGATCGACTAAAAATCCGGTACCTTTACCGGTTTGAGTATTACACCTATTTTTATATTAGGAAACATACCTGAACAGTAGTCTCTGTACCCGGTGGTGAGACAATATTGGCATACGAAGTCATTGTCGGATAAAACATGCCGAAAGTAACGCCTTGCAACATTTCAATAGGCAGTACCCACCAGGGGTTGCTTAGAAACGAGTACAAGATGAATCTCACACCAAACGCCAGTAGAACCAGGCTCATCATGTTTATATGACCAACTTTTTTAAGTACATAACCTGAAATACATCATTATTTTATTTAGTATTGGAAAGCCAAGCTTTGTCAGGAATATTCGTGAAGGAATGGTCGACTAGAACGTCTAGATATCACGGCCTCAGAGAAAACGGCGACAAAATTATATATCCGTATTTAAATATCCAAAACCCTAATCACTAAAAGGCCGGCAACGCACTCGTAACTACTTTGGTGTTGCGGGTGTCCATGGGCGGCGCCGATTGCTTACCAGCCAGTAAACAGTTTGCTCGTTTGCCAACTTATTCCATAAAAAAAATATAAAAAAATACTTTTTTCTAATTAGATAAAATGTAGGCAACTACCCCATATCTCATTATATTAATGTTCTTATAATGAAAAATGTGTAAAAAAGAACAAGCTAGAGCAAAGGTTTTTTTCATTAAGTATTGTACTTTAATAACAACACTGAGTACTTACCAGACACAAACAGGAAAGGTATTTCTCCTCCAAACGTTTGTATTGCACTGACTAATCCTTGCAAGGTTTTTATGTAACCTGAGCCATCACAGGTGAGCCCTGATATGTCTTCCAACAACCAAAACAGGAATTGCCACAGTAAACCAGTGCACATACCAACTGCTACCGTCCACACTAAGAATAAGAATGTTGGCAAAGACGATAACAAGGAACCAACATCAGCTAAAATGTTCATTGACATCTTAGTTGAATCAGTCTGAAAAGCAATAAAAAAAATTCAATCATTTCCTAAAAACATTTATCTCGAATTAATCATATGGAACTGATTTCGCATTGGAATGGTTTAGTTAAAGTCCGTCTTGTTTAACAGCTACATTAGAATTTGGTCGATCGCACTCAGGTGTAAATACAATATATAGGTATATAGGCTGTCTTGAAAATTTTATGACACAGCGGAATTAGCAGCACTATTATATAGTCAGAAAAACAAAAAAAAACAAAACCTACACGCATGGTTATTATATTACACCAAAAATGGTCTACCCATTATAATAAAGGGGTAAAAATTGTAAGTTTGTAAGTATGTGTGGAGGGGTGCTATAGGCTATTAAACATCACGATCTGATTAAATGGAGCCGAGCAGCGGGTGAAACCGCGCGAGATTAATAGCTAGTAGATTATATTTGAGTAACTTACCTCTACAAAACAAGAAACACCGACGTCACCCATCATAAACACGAACATGAGAATAAATGCAATAGAGTAGTTTTTGTAAGCTCCATCACTAAAAGTGTCTATGAGAACTCCAGTCAGCAGTGAGAAGATACCCCATCCAACTGAACCCCACAGTCTTTGTTTTCCATACTGTGATACTTTAGTACCTGAAATGAGGTTACAAATTCAGATTAGTCTATGAAAATAGAATAAAATTATGTTTTAGTCAGATGGTAAAAGAAACATATTTTTTTGAAAAGAGTATCAATTATTATTGTTCTTTTTTCCCTTTCTTCTCCATTCGATCTTTACATTGGGTGTGTTTTAGTGACGTTGCATTAAATTATCGCAATGATGACGTTGCATTTAACTATTGTAGTGATGACGTAACACGGTCTCAGCATAAACCCTTACGAACGAACGAGCGCCTTGCTTCACTGATGAACAGACTACTATTCTATTTTGACGTTATAAAGGTTACGTTTTGACGTTATATATGGTTTAGTTGGAATAAATAATTTTGACTTTCCATTTTTATACCTACATCATCTACAATTCTACATAATCATCTACAGAGAAGGGCTGTTTTACTTACCAAGCAGATTGAAGCAGATAGCATCAGCGAATGTGACAACAACGGCCTGTCCGATCCAGCTAACTATCATTAAGAAGAAAAATAGCCAAAACGTTGTTGTGAATTCATTTTTATCATTACTGCTATCTACTGCGCCCTCGATTAACTCATTCACCTGCAAAAAGTGTTTTTTAAATCATTAGGTACCTATATATTCAAGATTTTCTTTACTTTGGCTTTCTTTATAAGAATTTCGAAAATAACCTACCAATCACAATGTTTTGGCATTAAGTGGTAAACTGTATTTATAGGTACTTCACAAACATTAAGATTCACAAATATAAGCAAACAATGTTTTATTTGCTAAGGATTTAAAATAATTCATTTATTGTTATTTTATTTAAAATGAATAACTGATTTTATGTTATGTGTTAGTTTATAAAATATTTTACAAGGAAAGCCTGATATAAAAGTACTTGCCACAGCGTTGTCACAGCGTATACTGCAAGAAGAACGAAACAGTTCAGTTTTATTTTCGTATTGTGCTTTTGCTCCACAAACAGGATAATGTTTTGTTACTGAAAAAAATAACATAGTACAAAAAATCCGTTGATGATTTTTCATAAACATTTTTAAAACAAAATTTAATATAACCAACGAATTCAACGCAATTTTCGACAGACAGTTGCGCGGGTAAGAACCAGTCTTTATAAATAAATCTGCTTCTGAAATGTTGATCACTTAAATTTTAAACGACTATCGCAAAATGGATACCTAATCCAATAGCAATTGCTTTTTTTACAACTTCGGACTACTTTGAATACGGTCCGAACTGAAAAAATCCTTTTGTGTTAGATGATCCATTTATCGAGTTAGGATATAGGCTATAAAACAACACGCTACGACTAACAGAAGCCGAGCAGTGGGTATAACTTTACGTGATTAGTTCATTAGATAAGTATCCTTAGTATAGTGTCAAGTTATCTTACCAACGCCGTTTTCATCGGGCAATTCGATGTGATGAAGCCGCATATAAACGCATTCATGTTCCTTGATTGTCGAAGATAACAGTACTTCTCCGGTGAAGGACAGGTTTTTTGGGAATTCTTCACCCTGCCGGGTCTTTGGTTGACAGTAGCTGGCAGTGTCTGCCTTCCACCACTCGCATATTTCCATAAGCCGCCACGGAGCATTCACGTCAAGATCACATGAAGCCTAAAAAATCGATAAGTAGGATAGATTTACTGGTCGGACCGACGGATGTTGGATATGAGTCGGACTCCCGCGGAAAGAGTTCAGACTGTTGTATGGGAGCCTCTGTAAATATTTTCAACTGTCTAGTTATCACGGTTTATTAAGACACTACCTGATGGCAGACAGACACATGGACATCAAAGGAAAGTCGATACACGATACAGGTCTGCCTGGTGTGATTTCACTGTTATTTTTGTAAATTGTAATTTGATTTTCAGGCACATTATTACAGAGGCAATTCATACCTAAAATCATGAAACAAATAGTCAACGATTTACCTCACATGTGCTATTTAAAGGATCTTTAGTAAGTTCTTTAACTTGAGCAGTATCTGCAGGGCATAGTTTGTAATTTATATTTTGGTCCACACAGGTCATATTCACACGATCCTTCCCTATGGCTGTAGATAACTTTGTGTTATCACATTTGAAAGCACAGGGTTCGTTAACATCTACATAGACTTTGCCCAGTCTGCAGGAGGGACTGAATATGCGACCTGAAAAAGAAAATTTGAAATAATAGTACCTAGTTAAAAGTTGAAGTTAAGTCCATAATCATAGCTATAATAACACTAGAGAAATTCGCAGATTGCACAAAGTTGTTAGTCGCATTGCAGTGTTCGTTATTAGCATGGCAAAATAAACGTGACATTCTATTTTCTTTTAATCTAGTAATTGTAAAAAAAAACTAACCATTGCGCAGACTCACTAGACACAATAAATATAAGTACCCTACCTACATATACAATAAACTGAAGATTGAATGAGTGATAATAGTAAAAAAAATGATTATTAGCTCTTCTTATAGTAATGTGACAGAAAACAAATGAATTTTATCTCACCGTCCAAGGTTACATTACTTGCAGCAATATAGGCACAACTGTCGTTCTTCAAAGTAACATTACTGACTATAGAGGAATATTGTATGTTGTTGGTGTTACTGAAGCAGTACTGTGGTATGTGCCAATGTTCGCAAACCGTCTGCCACATTTTAGGCGACGTCATATCACAATTCATCTGCAAAAAAATTATATAAGTAATCAGTACCTACTTACAATAAATATGAATGAAAAGAATCTTTGTTCTTTATAAAACGGTAGACCTTGCTGGCGATGCCTATAGATTCACTATCACGTGTTTGATATTATTTTTATAAATAAGTTGACGAAGATGTGATGAGGAAAAACTTATGTGATTTAATGACTAATATGGAATTTACAGTACTTAGCGATACTTTTATTTGTTTCATTTAAGACTGACGAACAAGTCCTATGTTTGATTCTATAGAAAAACTTAATTGATTTATTCCGGTATATCTAGCACAGAATCTGAAATAGTGTCTATTTACTATAGCAATAAGCTACCCAAATAAATGTCCAAACCTTCATAAATAGGAGAATAGTTACTTTCTTCATAATGAAGAGAATAGTTATTAAGGTTCTTAAGTGCTATATTAAGTTTAAAGTACTTACTTCACATTTAGACGTAGCATTGGAGCTTAAATTACTCAAGTAATCAACTTTACACATGTCTACTGCATCTTTACTCTTGTAACAACTTTGTAACATAGTAATACCACCGTCGCAATCTAATTCAACCGACCAGTTTCTGTTTTCTGGTATTAAGTATATTGATCCGAAGCTTATTATAGTTATTATTTGAAATAATATGAATATTGATTTTTGTTTTTTAAACCTGTAAGAAATAATAACATAATTTAATTATCATCAAAGTTTTCATCACCTTTATTTTATTTTTATACATTATTGATTTCTTTATTATTGTAAGCCCACGTGTTACCTCTAGTAATATTTCCTTCTTAGCTACTTATAAAAGATTAAGTACATGTTAAGGACACTCAAGTCAAGTACATTTCATATTTTTTTTATTATTAATTTTAGATTTAATAATTATAAAATTATAGAATAAAGAACCAATAAGACTGGAGGAGGTGGGGTACATTGATACATGGGGCACATTGATATAATTGCCTTATCTAAAAATTAACAACCGGTTTTCGAAAGGCCGATCAATGTTAAAATCAATTTAATCTCTTGTCAAGTCATCTAATTGGTTGACTGAATTATCAACAACCAATCAGATGACTTGACAAGAGATTTGACACCTAGTTAGTTGATTTTAATATTGATCGTGATTTCGGAAACCGGGTACCAGTCTTGGAAAAAAATGTGCCGGGAAAGAATGGGTAGCAGGCTTTAGAAACAGGAATCAAGAGCTTAGCCTAAGGAAGCCAGAAAATACAAGCGCCGCAGGAATTTTGCATTTAATAGAACTGCAGTTAATGATTTTTTTTCCAAATTGTGAACGCGTAATGGAGAAGTTAATTCACACCCAATCGTAAAATCAATTTAGATGAATCAGGTATTAACACAGTTTTACAAACACCTAAAGTTTTGGTCGAAAGGACACGAAGACAAGTAGGACAAATAGTTTCAGCTGAACGTGGAGAGCCTGTTACGTTTTGAGGAATAGTGACAGCAACAGGCACTGCTCTTCCTGTTTATGTTTTTCCTCGAGTCCATTTCCAAGAACAATTTTTAAATGAGGCTCCTAAAGGTTGTCTTGGCGTAGCAAATGGATGACGTCTGATTTGTACATACAAGTTCTACAACATGTCCAACAACAAACATTGTGTTCAAAAGATTACCCAATTCTAATTATTTGTGACAACCATGAATCTCATATTTCTATAGAAGCCGTGAACTATTGCCGAAACAATGGAATTGTTTCTCCACACACGTCATACAAGCTACAATCGCTAGATATTAGCGATTTTGAGCCATTTAAAGGAAAGATAAAAATAGCCTTCAATGCTTGGCACGTCCGAAATATTGGTAAGACATTATCGACAAACAACATAGCTGAACTCTCGAAGTCTGCCTTTCTGGAATCTTTCACACCCAGAAATATAACGAGTGGATTTTCAAAATCTGGTATTTGGCCATTCAATAGACTAGCATCAGGGGGCGAAGATTTTGCACCCATTGAAATTTACAGTCAGAGTTTCCAAGATGAAGAAATGAATCAGGCAATACAAAGCGAGGAAGTCGATTTTGTGGAGGTAGAAAGAGATCGAAATGATGAAACTATTGACAGAGAAGAGATACAAAATGACCCTCTAGATAACCAAAGGAATTTTGATAGATCTGCTAACATCGGCATCATTTCATCCTTTCATCACGTCCATTAGCTGGACTGTCAGGCCTTCAAACTAAAATATTTTATCCTGCAGCTATTCCATTTATCCGAAAAAGGGCTTTGTTAAAAAAAACATCCAAAAAGGGCAGAGAAAAAGGAAAATCTAGAGTTTATATCGACACACCAGAAAAGAATAGGCTACAGACACTTCACGATGAAAAAGAGCCGCTAAGAATTTATTGGGACTCACAGAAAGTACTAACCTAGAAAGAAGAAAGTCTATTGTAACTTGTCAGAATCTGATTCCAGTGATACTGATAAATTAAATGATACCGATGAATATGAAGAATCAGACATAGAAGGTGGACCTGAGTTCGACAGTCCTAGTCTGAAAATATAAATGTTGGGGATTTTCTTAAAAGAAAAGTGATCCACTATGTGGCTAAAGTCATTAGGTACTGAATATAATTTGACTGAGTATGAAGTGTCATACTTAAGAAGAAATTGCCAAGTCTTCTTATATCTTTGTCTTTCCAGATGTCGATGACAAAGCCAGTGTCATTTTCAGAGATATACTTTTACATCTGCCTGCACCAAATTTTACGAAAGGCGCTACTCGAACCTCATCTATTTATACTTTTTCTAATAATTTAAGTGCATACAATGTGCAATAACAGAGAATATAGACTTATATTATGTTTTCAAATAATATTAAGATAGTTTGATTAAGATTTATTACAACAATTAGATGTGTCTCGTGATAAGGTTAATGTTGATCACATTACAATAAATAAGTTAAAATATTGTAAATGTGTCTTAATTTGACCATAATTAATTAATGACCCTGTACTTTCATACATTTTCACCCTGTATAAAAGTGCCCCACGTCGTGTATCAATGTATACCACTAGTGGGGTAGATTGATATAAAAACCATTTTTTACTAAATGTCAATTATTAATTCTTTGACAACAAAAACAATTTTAAACTAGAACAATATAATAATTAATAATTTAGCTAAACTTAAAATACAATATTAATGAAAAATATTATGTCTGTAATCTGTATACCTACATTAAAATTTTTGTGAATCAATGTGCCCCACTTCCCCCTAATTTTGTGAGCTATCTTAGGTTCATTTTAGATAAAACTTATTTAAGGTGTAAACTGTAAAGAAAAATAGCTAAAAGAAACCTGAAAGTACAACGTCTAATTGTAAGTGAGAAATGGTCAACCCGACTTGAGCCAGCATGGAGACAATTAGGTACAGGCTCACAATGATGATGATGGAAAGATTTATAAATAAGAAGAGTAGAATAAATGTTTCTGTTACTAAGCGAGGTGGCCAAACTTTTTATAAGTATGATCAATCTCTGTTAAAAACTTTCCATCAACAATGATAAATTGATTGAATGAGTTAAGTGCCCCGAGTATGTCTCATGCTTTTTTTGTTTCGTATTACTTACAGTCATGTGGGTACCTCAGTGGGTACCTACAATTACTTTTTTCAATCTAAAGTAAATCTTCTGAGTTTTGCGACATCAATTCGTGCCCAAAGTTATATAGTAGGTAGGTATTCAAAATTAACATCGTTGCCCTGAACTAGTGTCGTGGGTGCGTTTAAAAACACATACATTACACATACGAGTAGATCATACAAAGAACTGTTACGTGTGGAAATCAAATCCGCGACTCTACGCCAACCTTGCACTAAGATTGAGTACCTAGTTAGTAATAGATCAGTTTACAGAAGCAGTAGGTAGTTACACAAATCAACATAAAATCAACAAAAAAAAAAATGAAATTAGAACCGAGCCTTAGCCAATTACAAACTTAGAAACAGAACGAAAAATATTTACAGACTGGAGTTACTTATCCTGCTGTTGTACCTACATGTTTCAGCAATTCCAGTATTATATGTGTATGAATATAAGTTTGAAATGACTTCAAATTATATTACCTACATAAAAATTTGACATTACGATGTTTTATGGATTATCATTGAATAATTTATATCAATCCACGTCAAATAGCTCTACTTCATATTTTAAGGCCCTTTTTTCTATATAGTTTACTAATTATAGTTAACGACAGGCTACATTGTTGTTTATTTAACCTTACAATAATGTATTTAGAATCCACATACATTTACAATTCACGCAATAAGTATAGCAGAGATACAATCAAACAATCTACTTCAGTTTAAGATGTCATAATAGTAGATTAAGATAAGGAAATTATGTGATAAAACTCAGCGTAAAGAAATAAATCGTTGTAAAACCATATCTTACCTGTCGGCAATAACACCGAATAGAGGTTTTGCGATAAGACCAAATATGGGCAGTACTGTGTAAATTAATCCTACCGTGGCAGATGAGAATCCTAATTGACGTGCGTAAGTTGATAAGTACGGTACAAGCGGCGCGGTGCCTGAAAGCAAAACAATAATTTTAAAAATCTCTTAGTTTGTGACAACATCTTGAATACATGACATTCAAACATTAAATAGACTAAAACAAATCTTAACATAGTTATCTATTATTCAACTAGCTTTTAACCGCGGCTTCGCTCCCGTCATGCCTACCCTACCTACCTTAAGCTACACTACCTATCCTACCCACCTTACCCTACCTACTTGACCCTATCCTATGTCCTTCTCCCAGTTCTTAGCAACCCTACCAATTAGCAGCTAAACGGTTCAGCCGTTCTTATGTTATAAATAGCGTAACTAAAAAGATTTTCTTTTATTTATATAGATATTTTATTTAGAAACCCGTGTTTTGTATATAACATAACTGATAATTCGGAAATCACTATGTAACTCCTAAAAACTAGATAGTTTTCATTTGATTTGTGGTATGAATTTTCAATATATTTTTAATTGGGTATTAATATAAACAATGTTATAGTTCAAAATTATTTGCTTAGCCTCTCTGCTGCCTGTTTATAAGAGACAATAGAAAATACATAAAACCTCGCTTAGATCTATGTTCCCGCGTAAAACAAGTTAAACTTATCTGGACAAGGTTAGTTTTAATTTAAATAGATTATGTTTGGTTGATATCAATGTTTCTAATTGTACTATAATTTCACGGTATACACATACATTGTTATAGCATTATACTGAGTTATATACCTAATCCATTTAATATTTTTATTGATGATAACGAGTTTAAGCTTGATATAATTTATAACAATTTTTATTGGTACACATGCAGTCTCGACTTGTCACTGCCTTCATTCGTACTTGATAAACTTATGTGGCATATTTCATACAAATTATATTCTATATTTATGAGTAATTTTTATCTTGTTCCTAGTGGCTGACCAGGCATTGTGATGTAGGTCCTTTAAGAATTTGTTTATAAGGTAGTTTATCCATCACTATTACTTACAGAATAGCTTCAGATTCTCTTATAAGAAATTAAGAATTTAGCTGTCCTTGTAAACAATAAATGTATGAATATTTTGTCAGTAATAGCATTAAGACTGCCACATTAATTATGACTGCCGCATAATGGTATCATTAAAACACAATAAGGTAATGTTATTGCTGGGTAAGTATACTTAAATGTGGAATGTGTATTAATTACTAGCTTTATTAAGATACTTATTTGCTTTCACAAAAAAAGGTATGGATATGGTGATGATAACAAGGTAATCCAACCCTCAAACATACACACAGATGGTATCATTATTATGTGTCACTAAATTGTGTTTTGATAAAGTTCTATAGTAAAAATATAAACTTGAACATTGTAAATCAATTAAATATGTTTTCATTTCAGTTACATTAGGTTTGTTAAAGTAAAACAATATCATATAGAAAAAAAATCTTGTCATTTTTCATCAGAATAATTAATATTTTGCAGATAAATAAAGTTACATAGGATCACATTTTTTGTAGAAACTACAAAAGTTTACTTAATTATTTTGAAAATCATATAGCCCAATGGCACATAAACTATTGTAAAATCACCCTTCCTTGAAAATATGATTGCATATTTTGCAATATAGGTATCCCCTATATTGCAAAATATGCAATCATATTTTGCAATATAGGGGATACCTATATTGCAAAATATGCAATCCCCAACAGGCTGGCAATGCACTTATAAACTCATTAACTGTATTTCTGAGTGGTAATAGGTCACATTGATTGCTTGTCATTACATGATCAATAAGATAGTTTGCCACCCATCACAAATTCTAAGCCCTTAATTGTCTACTGCAACTCAAATAAATAGGAATATAAACTTATTACTGTTAGTTATTTCACAAACAAAACTGTTATAGTGTAGTAGCTTCACTAGGTTGAAACTGTGGCTTCTCTTGGGTAGCCTGTGTGTCAATCCAGGGTATAACCTATCTTCATACGAAATTTTAACCAAATCGGTCCAGTAGTTTTAGCATGAAAGTATAACAAACATACAGCCTGACATTCTCACATTTATAATATTAATAGAATTTAAACAAGTACACAAGTTTTACTTACCAGCATTAAAGAAGAAAAAATGACCCTTTATGGGTAATAGTTTTTTATTAACTTGCATTTTTGAAGGCAACATTTAAAATCTGCAAAAATACATAATATGTTTGAAATGTATCTCATATTGCCCAAAAAAATATAATGTAGAAAAATTCTTAAAATTAAGAATTTTTCAATACACTGTTAAAAACTTAAACTAACATGACAAGTAATACTGCAAGAACTTTATTGGTCAAGGACTTTACACATCATATTGGTTGCACTGATAGTTATACTATATAATACTAAGATCCCAAGAGTTTTTAAATACAAGCTTGAATTTAAAAAGTATAAACAGAGTCTATGCAGTTTGTTTTAATTTTATTCTTTTTGTGCCAGTTTCTAAGAAATGAATAGGTATTTGAGCACACGTTTTAATGCTTAAGTGTTTGTTTTGTTCCTAAAGTAAAACTTGTTCAATGTTGTTCAAGTTATTTAAAGTTAGGACGTCGTTTTTTATTACAGGAACTTACATAAATATCTTGACAACTTTTTACTTCTTCAAATTATGGAGTCCGGTTGTATAACTTGTAAACACTGCACTTTACCAGGGACGCGGCTTATAGTACTGATAAAGTTATCTATTAAAAAGATAACCACTGAGTGAAATCTATCGACCTCATTAGTAGTGTTTATTGGCAGCAGGCGACCGACCAGCGCCAATAGGAAATTCATCTGATATGATGATTACATTATTTCCAATAAAAACACGTGCAGCCAATGAAATCAAACAGAATCCATGATTTGACAGATGACGTTGGCAGATGTCAGATGTCGGAGTTGTCACTTGACAAAGTTGTAAATGTCATATTAAAAGTTGCCCATGTTAAAATATATTAACTTGGATAAGTGTGAAATAAGACTATTTCAGCATGAGCAAGTAAGTTACAGGTTTCTTGTCGTACACTTTCTTTTATAATATATTAAGCAAATGGTAAGCATTAAATTGGTTACAATATGAGGGAGCAGTATGTATGAAATTCTATCAATTTTGTAATTTTCTCCATGCACAGATTGGCAATTTGGGTAAAATTTTAAAAAAGAACTTGACTGAACAGAACTGACTTGAATTCTTATTTCGCATAAATAGGAATAAAGAGGAAAGACTTAGGGCTTATTTTCAGGGTAAATTAAATACTAATTAAACAAAGAACGGAAATAATTAAGTATTACTTTATTTCATTGAAAAGAGTTTGAGAATTTCCGTGCCATATCCGAATCCTAATCTGCAGGAAGCTATGGTGAATTTAAAATAATAATGCTACTACGGTTCACGCGAACTAATACAAATAGGAAAAGCATTGACTTACATGCAACTGCATTGTATGTATCTAAGAAATAGAAATTATATTACACGGTCTAACACACGAGACTGGAGGTGATAGCTATTACGCACTTTAGTTAAAGACGTAGTACGTAGACGTGCGTATGCGGCTAAGGTAATATTTATGTTAATCAAAACTTAAAAAATAATCAATTACAGATTGATTAATATTTTTTTGCATGTAGATATTTATGTATGGGTCCAAAGAATTTAGGATACGACAAAATTTGTACTTAACTGGAATTAGCTTCTAGACTGAGACTTCATAAGTACAGAAAGCTAGGTGGGATGATTTAATAGAGCAGGCGATTAACTTACCCATACTTTTGGGTAGTAGTAGTAAGTAACAAAGGTATTTTTATAAATAGCTTATTGTCACCTTATCAGCCCAGATAAGTCAACTGGGGTTGCAGATGCAAACGCAATAATATTCCACAGTCCTAGCAGGAGAAGTAAAGGGTTGGTTTTCAGTCAGTAAAGTCAAGAGTCTGACACTTCCTTTCGCCCCACCTAAGGCAGGAAAACTAAAACGATAGCCCCTAAAAACATAATTATTTTAATCAAAAGTTTGACTTCAGGGAACGTCTGGCCGCCCTAAAATCAGCCATTTGATTGACCATTTTGTATAGCTGAGCTTCTCTGGAAGTCTCATAAGCCTAAAGCTCGGTTCTTCTACAACTTCTCAGGCACCAAGAACCCGAATAATTTGATGTTCAATTTGCAATCCTGAACAAGGTTTGAAAGATTATAAGCACTATTGTTTCTGAGCGTACCTTTACGGTACAATTGAGCGGACTTCCGAGGATAACCCAGTATAAGAGGATCGTCTGGAGGGACTAGTCCTTAGTCTCACCTGTACAATATTTATCCAGCTTAGAAATTATAAGTTCAGGTTTCCTCATGGTGTTTTCCTTTGTCAGTGGTGTCTAAATAATTAAAGAAAGTACTTTGAACTTAGAAAAAGTTACATTGGTACTTGCCAGGTTTCTAAGCCGCACCCTCATGCATGAGAAGCGAGCGCTTCAACCTCTGCGCCATCACGGACCTATACCTTATGTATGCTTAAATCTTTAAAACTACGCAACGTATATTGTTGCGGTATGTTTAATAGATAGAGTAAATTAACCATATTGTTGTGAAGAAATTTAGTGTTACCATAGCATCCGTGCGAAGCCGGGGCGGGTCATTCTGAATACTTATAGAGAATATAGTAGTGGTTATATCGTCATTGATCCTCAACAATAAAGGCTATAAGCAGTTATTTCTAGCTAGAAAATTAGATATCCCAACTTAAAGTTAGGTTACGGAACCTGTGGGAATCCGGGACGAACCGTTGGTAGGTATATAATAAATTAATGAGAATATGTAGTAGATTTAGTGAACTCAACGTTAGCCGCAATTAATTATTATTCACTAGTTTAAGCTTATTTGGATTGGATTTTTCTTCTTATAACGCTTATGTCATAATTATTTTCATTTTCTTATCAGACACATCTGATTCCTCACTAAGCCATTGAGCACCTCGTATTCATCGACTTCTCTGGTAGGTTCCAGATTTTATGACAGGAAAAAAATTAGTATCTAGTGACTTTTTAAAGGACACACAAACAGATTGTAATAATTTTGTAATGACTATTTCTCTGCATTGTTAATTCAATGGTCAAACACTGTGAGAACACTACCAATTTTAGAATTACTTTCCAAATCCCCCTTCCCCTTGTAGAAAAGGTTCATGCTCTAGGCTCCCCGTTCCTAGCTGATACTCCTGGATACACGGTACCTTAATACGCTTGCCCCGTTATCCCGGCTGAACATCAACTCTTTTTTGGCACAAACAAACAGGGACTAGGTGTCATATATCTTTATACAGACCTATATATAATCCTTCTGTACATGTAATTGAACTCGTCTTAAACGGCTTGACCGATTGAAATGGATTTTTCTATATGAGTCTGAGTGGCGCCCCGAATGGTGGAGTTTCACAAATCAGCCCGGCAGGTGGCTCTGATTGCCAGAAAAAGCATGTATTGTGATCTCGGAAACGGTCCTAACGATTTCGATGAAATTTTATATGTGAGTGTTTTCGGGACGAGAAATCGATGTAGCTCAGTCTCATGGTTGGGGAAGAGCATGTTTTCGAGTTTACTCTTTCGCAATATTTCACGCATAATATCGCAGCTGCAATAATATCGCAGCTTTAATATAGCAGCTGTGCTGTAGTCGATAGTGGTATAGTCCTCTCGCGATACGGTGTTCCTCGGTTCAAACCCAGGCAAACATAAGTTTTTATGATTATAGTCTTTTTAGTTTTACAGTCACTTAAAAAGATAATTGTACATAAGAACTAAAAGGGGAAAAAATGAAAATAAATTAAATATTTTTTTTTAATAATGTAGGTAGTGCATCAAGGCTACGCTAAGGCGGACCAGCTAGTACTTATATATGTATATTCTCATGGCCTTTTTTGTGGAGGGAAAACATCAAATTATATTGTCTAAGGTATGGCTCCCCTGTTCCTGCTTCAGGCCGAGGCTTCGGTACCTTATTGCGCTTAACCCACAGCCCCGGCTAATGGATATGTCTCGTATGGTCTAGTTCTAGTTGGGCGGCGAGCTTGGTAGCTCCAGCCGGGGTTGCGGGGTAAGCGCAATGAGGCACCGCGATCTCGGCCCGAGCAGGAGAAGGGACGGGGGGGGGGGGGGGGGGGGGGGGGGGGGGGTTAGTCTGTAAGAGTCTGACACTCTCTCTCACCTTAAGAAGTCATTAGATGATTTTCCCTTGACATAAAAACTCGCCGCCCGCTCGCAGACCCGCACTTACGATGGCCAGACATCATCGCTTATTATAATATTTTTCCACCAACAATTTATTATTCTTTGACAGATGATTTCTAAGGTTTGTAGTAGACAGAGTGGTTGTTGATTGTATGAATGTGCACCTTTATAACATCAGCTGGAGCAGGCTACACAGCTTGAGTCTCTAGTACCTACTTCTGGCAAACGAATTTGTTTTCAGTATCACTAAGGGGACCTTTCTTAATATTTGATAGATTTATTTAAATATTGTTCGTTTCTAAACTATTTACCTACTTATAGCTAATATTCCAGACTCACTGCCATACTCTGATATTGTTACCAACTCCGCCCTAGCTAGTTGCCTATTGGCCTCCCAAATTAAATCGGTATACTTAGCTTATATTAACCACGTTCAAATAAGTATGACACATATTATAATAGCTGAAGGTATGAAATACGTTACGTTACCTAATTGTATCCATACTGTGTTCGTTAAAATTGGGCGTACCCCTTTCCAATATGTTTACCGCAATCAATATAACTTAGTACCTCTACTTACTTAGTAACTCTACATGCAATTGGTTTTGCTAATGTATTTTAACTTTATGCTTTAAAAAACTGGGCATTTAACAATAAAATCTGCTGCTTATAAATCAAAATCTGAAAATGAATCCTGTGCAGCTTTCGTTTCCACAAAGCGCATAGAAGAAGCTGAAGTAACTAAACTAACATTTTCAGTATTGTTCATGGTTTGTCCTATGAATAAATCAATAGGTATCTGACTATGTATGTATAATTATTATTATTTTTATTATTATCGTTTTAGGTTACAACCTCTCCCAAATGTATATGGGGAAATACGCCAAAGTTACGGGCTTGTGGCCAAAGCAACCTTGGGGATGATAAGGTGTGATTTAATTGATGGATAAAAACTTCCTAACTATTCTGCATGTGTTAAGTATGACAGCTTTCTGTAGGAGTGTGAATGTAAGGGGGTGTAAATCAAGGGTCTTTAAACTTGTATGAAGGGTTTTGGGGATGACGCCTGTACTGGATATTATGATAGGAATGGTCTTAACAGTGTGTACCTGCCACTGAGTTTTGAGCTCAATGGTCAGGTCCACATATTTGGTGAGTTTGTTGGTGTGAGTGGAACTTAGGTTATGTGTGTTTGGGATCGCGATATCTATTAGGTATACTATTTTGTTTATCTTGTCGTGGAATGTGATGTCAGGCCGGTTATGGTGTACAGTTTTATCTGTAAGTATGGTCCTGTCCCAGTACATTTTAAATTCGGGTGAATCGAGGATGATTTGTGGTGTGTATTTGTAGTATGGTATTTTCTCTGCGATGAGTTTATGTTTGTATGCGAGTGCTTGATGTATGATAGCTGCTACCTGGTCGTGTCTGTGCTTGTAGTCTGTTTGTGTGATGGATGAACATGAGCCTGTGATGTGTTGAATAGTCTCAGGTTGTCTGTGACAGTGTCGGCAATGGTCACTGCCAAGGGTACTATCGCGGATTATATATTTTCTGTAGTTCTTAGTGTCAATCACTTGGTCTTGAATCGCTAACATAAACCC